TAGAAACTTCTCTAGGAAGTAGAAGTCGTGAACCTGTGATTCATTTTTGCATGTGTGCAGCAGATGTGTTGTGATGGACATTCTTTGACATCAAGAGATCAACGACGCAGAAGGAATTTGAGAGGATCTTGGAACGCTGCAAGAACAAAGAGAGCGCAACACATACGGAAACTAGAAAACTAGGACGAGTTGAAAGACGTCAACATTCATAAAGCGCAATCGTGTCGTCGCTGCACAAAGTACATTAGTCTTCACACTTCTAGACGCTGCACATGCCATGATGGAGATTTAACCTTTTGCACTAAGTACATGTACACTAGTCTTCACACTTCTTGACGCTGCAACTGAACATGGAGACAACCTTCTGATGCAAGGTGCGATGCATATCATCCTCTGACCGCAGCAGCATCAATAGGAGCAGGAGCTACGGAACAAGAAACAGCTGCTAGACCACGTAATAACGCGGCACTTCCGAAGAGACGACTGCCACTTTTGAGAGAAGCAGTAGAAGTCTTCGGAACTGCTAGAGAACGACCCTTCATTTTGTTGCGGAAAGAACCTTCCATCTTGTTGTTTTTGTCGCACACTGATGTGGGACTACAGCACTGAGTGAGATGCAAGAGCTGCAGTATGAATACTTAAGCTTCTGATGATGAATTTAATTATATATAAATGTGTGCAGAAGATTGATTATGTTGTTGCCCAGCGGAGCGCATCAAAACAAACAAACAAAGATTGATTATGTTGATCAAATAAATTTGGAGTTATTGAACAACAAGTTGCTTAGTTGTTCAGTAGGTGAAAAATGAAGATGTGAGCAAAGAATTTCAACACTTGCTGGAAGCGCGAAAGCGAAGCTACTGTTGTTAAGAAACCTGTTAAAAGAGGGGAGAAGAGAAATTTTGGGGAGTGCGGTTGCTTGCATGAACATTTTCATCGAGGTTTGACGCAAAGATAAGAGTAACTAATTGTCGCACTTTCTACTGCCAACATTTTATGCACTACAGCTTCTAGTCATTTGTAGAAGTGTTTGTCGCATTTACAACTACTGCCGCTGCGAGAACTACTTTCGCTGCTTTATTACAAATGTCGTCGCATTTTTTGAGCTATGTGCAACGACCCGCTACTGTATTGAGTCGCATAGTCAGAGTCGTGATTTCTTGAGTACATGAACAGTTCAGAACTAATGGTCTTCTACTTTTCTTAGCTGCAAACAAAGACTGTGGCCGGGCTAAGGACACACCAACATTTTCACCACAAAGTTTCTAGTCTCTCTGATCCTTTCCTTTTTCAACATGAGCCTTTATTCTTTCTCATGAGTCTCTCGTCTCTCATGTTAAGTCACTACGCGAGAGTCACGCGCGTACAAAACGGAACGAACTGAAATGCTAGACGCATCTGAAATGCCGGAAGCGCCGTTTGCCTACAATTGCAACTCTCCATCACCCATCTTCGCTTTGCCCCACCACGTGCTGTTCGAGGCACATGCTCCTTCGCCCACCTAATCGAAAATGACTACAAGTTGTAGGAGAGGTCAAAAAACACAAATCACGGCAACATTATTGTAGAGGCTTCTGACAATGTCTTCACGACCGGATGGGTACAAGGACTTGCATCTATCGAAATGCATCGTCCTTCATCTTCAACGCTCACTACATCCATATCCTGATAATCACGAGCCCTTCCATAGGCTCCAGAACGAGGCATACCAATGCCTTCCTTTTATCAAGGCACGTCAATAATCAGAACAAGTAGAAAAAATACGTGATATTTTATAGTTAGATCCATCTTCATTGTCTCAGCTATGTCTCAGCTAGTCATGAGTGACCAGAATCAAACGAGCATAGAAGAAAATGAAAATACTTCTTGTTCGGCTTTACACTTTATTCTGTACATGTAATCTATCAAGGATCCGCCAAACCTCTTAATAGAGTTCGAAAAATAAACTTAATAGAGTTAAAAAATTAGATGAATCGTACGAACCAAAAGAGAACTGTTCGACCTCATGTTTGTGCGCGCAAGCGAATCATAAGCAACACACAGGTAAGTATACCAGAGGACTTGAATTTTCAATCTGAAGAAAACATTCTCATTAACATGGAGAAGAACTACGGTTCGACCATTCCATCTACTTCCTAGACTCTTCGTCATGACTTGAATTTCTCCACAGTCTGCTTCTCCTTCTCAACAAGGTATAATCCTGACGAATGCCCTGAGGTATCCCGACGAATGCCCTCCTCCTCCTCGATAAAAGTCGAAAATGGAATCTTGACCTTCATCTACCTCTTGTATTCACAACTGCGCCTCCAGTATTCAGCACTGCTCTTCTTCACAGTCCATATCATCGACATCCATATGATTCTCTCCACCTTCCGCTCCAGATGACTTCTGCAGGGATTTCAACTTCGATGTCTGTACAGTTGAGTATCCAGCAGGCACGACTTCCCATTCGATTCGACGAGGACGAATGGCATTCTCCCATCCGCCCTTCGGAGCGTAGAAGGGATAAGCCCAGGCGGTTGCGCGCGTGGATTAGACGCCGGGGAGAAAGTAAGTACTTACTTTTTACTAGTAGTAGGAGTTGTTAGTTGTGTGCTCCCATTCACATTCTAGGGGTCGTATAGAAGATTAATTCCAACCTGCTTTATTTGCCTGCTCTATTTACAATCCCACGCCTTGTTATTCCTGGAATATTTTCAGCACCACAGACCACTACAGACACTGTTATACTATCATGAGAACAATTATAAGTATCCATAAGATAGTATTGTGTAGTACAACAAGTGAAGGGAGCAGTACTTCTAGCAGCACTACGACGGTGTAATTGTAAAATAAGGGGAGCCATAATTATCCAATCGATGATCGGTAATCTCATCGATCATCTCCTCTGTGATTTGTTTTCGCTTTGCTTGAATCTCCGACGTCACCTCGACCAATGCGTCCACGAGGATTTGCTTGATTTGCCCAGTCTGCATTTTCCCGCTTTCGTAGTCTCGACCAATGTTGGCAAGTTCGTGGTCATCCTCGATCAGGTATTGCAACCAGGCCCAGGAAACGTCTTTGCTCAAGTCTGCGCCGTGTAGCTTCTGCAGTTCCGCAGTTTGCTGACCGCCTGAAACGGCATATTTGAACACTTTGCGCTTGATCTCCGCCGGAGTATCGTCGATGAAAATCGTGGCATCCTTCGAGTCCTTGTCACTGCTGCTCATCTTACCACCTTGCCCCTTGAGGCCCGGGAAGAACTTGCTGTACAAAGTCGAGGTCTTGGCCCACTTGAGCTTGGACGCAACGTCTCTCGTGACACGGAAGAACGGGTCCTGATCGATGGCGCAGGGAATCAAACAAGGCACCTGCACTGCTTCACCTCTTGCATCGGTCTGACCAGGGCCAAAGATCATCGGAAACATGTCCGAGAATGACTTAGAGCAACTCAAAGCAATAGCAATTGCAATTCACTTCTTGCCTACACAATTTCTACCGAACCCAATTCATCTTCTAGGGAACAAATTGATAGAAACGATAACGACCTCTACTGGAAATATGACGCCACATACTTTTTATGCTATAAGCTAATGAACAAATACATGACATGCTAGAACGCACGTGACAATGCCCTGAACTAATGACCACACATGATTGACATGCTACGCATAATGTCGAGCCTTACACGATTGACATGCTACGTATAATGTCGATTGACATGCTACTAATGAAGACAACATATACGTATAATGTTGAGCCTTAAATGACGGAGCAGCCTGCATGTTCACGTACCAGTTCATCCCCACGTTGGTAGAGTCGGTGAATCCCATGGCGCCCTTGTTCAGGCCGGTCGTCACCTTCTCCGCCAGCTTCGAGGTGACCGGGTACATGAAGGGAATGTAATCGGTGTCGATGAATATAAACGTGTTGTGGGCCTCGAAACCAAGAGCCATGATGTCCTTGATGTTCTGTCTGGCCAACTGGTACGTTCTATCCCACGTCAAGTCGTGCTTGGCCCAGAACTTCTCGTCGTCCGTGATCTGGATGACCAACGGGACCTCAAAGATCTCCTGCAGCCACTTATTGAAGATAAACGGCACCAAGTGGCCCAAGTGCAGACTGTCGGAAGAGGGACCGCGACCAGTGTACAGGTAGAACGGGTACTCCACAGTGTCGCGCTTGAGGCCTTGTTTGAGCAGGGACTTTTGCTTCTTCTGATGGGCCTCGTACTTGTCCAGGAGCAAGTTCAAGTCCCTGTGGGCGTAGAAGATCTCACGGCGCAAGTAACGATGCGGCTTTTTGCCTGTCAGTCGCTCGATTCGCTGTACGACACTCTCTGTGACGTGCTTGCAACCGAACTCGGAGACGATCTTATCGTAGTCGATGTTTCCATCCTTATCACCCTGGACTTCGTAAGCGGTCACTTTTTGGCCACCCTCTTCTCCTGTTGGGATCACAACCGTATGCTCAGTGAGTTCATGATCATCTTCTTCGACTAGTACTGCGTCTACTTCAGTACTCAAACCGAGATATTTCTTGACTTCCTGAGCGTTCGGGGCTAGAATATCTTCCACAGTAGGCGCAACGTCCACAGTAGCCAGTTCCTCGTCAGCAAAATACTCGGCCTCCATTGCTGAGTTTCCAAGACTGCTCATCACCTCATTCATGCGTTGTTCGTCGACCGAAAAATTGACTACGATCGCCACACCTTCCGCGTCCGCACGCGACTTCGACTTGAGATTTTTCTTCTTGAAAGTGATCTTATCGATCGAAATGGCGCCGATGACACCAGTTGAGCGCAGCGTTTTATTCGTCGGTCCCGCAAGATTGACAGCCCACTTTTGCAAGTAAGCGAGACGAACTTCTTTCACATGCGATGGCAAGTTACTTTCGTACATCGCTTGCCCATATCTTTCCTCCGCTTCGGTTCTGGAGCATTGGTACACCTGGAAAGCCTTGTCTTCGTCTACCACGTCGCTGACCAAAGTCTGCAATTTTCCTTGAAAAAAGCCCGCTTGCAACATGAGGTCCTTAGCTTTTTCCTCCAAGTCCTCGTTGGTTTTCTTCAGAGGGTCTTCGCCCTCAGCACCAGCATCATGGACTACAACCTGAATGCGGCCTTTGTTTCTACCAAAGTTGGACTCTCGCTCCAGAGTGCTGTGGCCGTTAGGAATCTTGAACAACTGCAGCAGGGCACCCTTTACAACGGACAGAGCGGCATCCACCACATGGTTGCGCTCTTTCGACTTGGTATTTCCTCCAGCAACGGCAGAACCGGAACCTTGGGTCGAGTTGGTACTTCCGTTTCCTCCATTAGCCTCACCACCAACAGAAAGTTTGTCCATTTCCTGAGCCTCCAAAGAATTGTTCCCCTTGTTCTCCTGAGCCCCCTCCAGAGCGGCTTTGTAAGCGTTGAACTTTTTCTTCCACTCTTTGATGGCTTGCTTCGTTGCATCTTTTCCTGTTGGCTTCACGGATGCAACGGAGTCCAGCATATTAGAACCTCCATCAGAAGTAGATACCTGACGATCGTGAGTACCAACATGCGGAATTCCTTCAGCCTTGGTCGAAGACGAGGAACTTCCTCCAAAAACAGGAGGCTTCATCATCTCTTCTTGATCTTGATGTTGTCCTTCTCCTTGTTGTCCTTCTCCTTGCATGGTTTCCGAGACAACACCTCGTTCAGGAGCAGCCCAATCCATGAAACCGCTGTCGTCTGTGACGTGTCCCTCACGTTGCAGCTGTCGCAGATAGTCCAGGTTGTAGGACCCAGAACCTTCGCTGTTTACGTGTTTTGAAAGAGGCCACCTTTTGAGAACTATATTATCTTCACGAATAGTAGGCATGGATGAATCTAGCAGATGAGATGTTGAGAGTGAATGTCTATGATGCCTAGTCGTCGTGCTCGTGTAGTTGTAATCACTTTTATTACTCTTGATGGAGATGCCTTGTTGAGTATGAGCAAGGTGTTGACTGTCTTGGTCACTATCTTTCTTAGTCCTACCTAATTCTTGGAGAGAAGCAGATGATGAAGCAGATGATAGAACCTGCGCAACCATTGACGAGTCAAGATGATTCTGATGAGGATGAAGCAACCAGTCTCCTACCTTTCGTCTAGTTCTCAAAAGATGGCTCCATAAAAAGGGTGTCTTCATCGCTTCAGACATCGAAAAACAAGTCGTTGCGAGTGCTAACGCAAAGAGCTTTTTGCTACCAAAGAAAGACATATTCTGAAACTTTGAGTACAAGAACTTATTGGCTACAAGAAAATGAAGATGATGACGGAGAGCAGAAGTCGAACAATGGAAGAAGACGTAGAAACTTCTCTAGGAAGTAGAAGTCGTGAACCTGTGATTCATTTTTGCATGTGTGCAGCAGATGTGTTGTGATGGACATTCTTTGACATCAAGAGATCAACGACGCAGAAGGAATTTGAGAGGATCTTGGAACGCTGCAAGAAGAAAGAGAGCGCAACACATACGGAAACTAGAAAACTAGGACGAGTTGAAAGACGTCAACATTCATAAAGCGCAATCGTGTCGTCGCTGCACAAAGTACATTAGTCTTCACACTTCTAGACGCTGCACATGCCATGATGGAGGTTTAACCTTTTGCACTAAGTACATGTACACTAGTCTTCACACTTCTAGACGCTGCAAGTGAACATGGAGACAACCTTCTGATGCAAGGTGCGATGCATATCATCTTCTGCATCAGCAGGTGCGCTTCTTCATACAGAAATACTATTAGGAGGTATCGACTTGGACTTAGGACAATTGATAGGATTTGCAAGCTGCGCTGGCTCTGAGAATTGGCACAACAACGATTATCACGCACTTCCGCTCTATATTCAATGAGGACAATCGCTGCATCATGACGATTTCAAGACAGCAGGAACATTCTGTTGTATTCCGCTCTATTGTCAGTGAGGACAATCGTCGCATCATGATGATTTCAAGACAGCAGGAAGAACATTCTGTTGTATTCCGCTCTATTGTCAGTGAGGACAATCGTCGCATCATGATGATTTCAAGACACCAGGAACATTCTGTCGCATTCCGCTCTATTTTCAATGAGGACAATCGCTGCATCATGACGATTTCAAGACAGCAGGAACATTCTGTTGCATTGTAGTCCATGCTGATCATGCTAGCGTAAACTACTACAACTTCTGTCTCCTGCCAGTCGTTATGCGCTGGCCGAAACCGTAAGACGGCTAGCGAATCTCGCGACGAAACGCGTTCCTCAATACATCAGCGTTTGTTTGCTTCTTCAGTACTACTACCGAGTGTCGCTGCGCAATTCGACATTACTAGAGAGCCGTTGTTTTGTCAAGTACTCACTATAATTGGCACTGCTAGTGCTGAACTGCTAGTGCTGCGTCACTGCTCACACCAGGGTCGCTCGCTGCTGTTACTTCGCTTGCTAGAACGAATGCCCCTCCCGAATTACTATGATCGTTGCAGTTGTATAACCACCTACTTACGGAAAATTGCTCATACAGATAACACGCGGCATGTGCACAAGCGGCGAGACACAGGGTGTTTCCAGTAGTATCGATAGAATGTAAACTACAAGGTATTCGCAAATCATCATCAACATCATCTAGACTAGCTCGCGTCCCACGTTGGGCCTATCCATGCTCAATTCCCACACTCATATGCTCAGCATAAGTGGCTGCTCTCGCCGGGCTTATCACGACTGCATTCCCTGTATTCCCACATCCAGCTCTAACCACTGCATTCCCTTTATTCCCACATCCATCTCTCACGACTGCATTCCCTGTATTCCCACATCCAGCTCTAACGACTGCATTCCCTGTATTCCCAGATCCAGCTCTCCTCAAAGCGGCTCCCCTCAACGCGTCTAGAGCGCCTCACGCCCCATGTCCACATGCACATCCTCATATGCCTGATCTCAGTGTGACCACGGTGGCGCTGCTGCATTTCATTCACTCATTCATTTACCTAGCACGAGGTACTGTCTCAAGACTTAACTAGGACGCAAAGGAAAGATAGTTGAAAAAGAGACAAAGAAAAGGAACCAAGATGGAGATGACTTGTCTTCTTTGAGTTATTTTAAATACTAAGAAGGGTCCCCTACTTCCAGCTCCTAAGAGGGGTCCACTACTTCCAGTAGCTCATCTTGAACGTCTTTCCCGCTTCTCTAGCTCCCTATCTTCGGGTATCTCCAATCACATGGATTTCCACGCACAATGGTCTATCTACAAGTGCAACAGCTTCGTCTTTACAAGAAACGCCGAGATACAATTCAAAAATTCAAAAATTAGGCTTCGGCAAGAGCGCTTAACTTGCAAGAGTTTACTCGTGCTTAACTTGTCTTTCCGCGTTGACGACCTCAAATTGTACTTATTTCACGCTGACTAGTAGTAGCAGCAGTCGTAGTAGTAGTAGAAGTGCGTAGTAGTAATAAACCCAGAATTCCTGGGGTACAGTCCAACTCGAGTTTAGCCCACCGCCATTCACGACGCAAAGCGCAGGCTCTGGCTGGTATCAGGAATCACGGTTCAGGCGACGCGTTGCTCATGCCAGATCCACTTCAAGCCCTCCATATTATTCTAAGCAATTCTCAAGAGCTGCTCATCTCACGACTGCCTCTACTTACACGGCCCTAACATCGAAGAATAGAAGTTGGCGTCGACATACAAGTTAGTAGTACAGACATGAGGCTATGGATGCCGTCTCCGCTCAAGAGCACTGGAAGAGATACAAATGGTCACTTTCTAGTTAGCGCGACCGTCGTCAACAGCGTCAGGTATCGGTATGAGCTGCACACAAGAAGAACTACAGACACCAGTCGTGTACTTCTGCACACAGGAGCAGGCCACACCACGTCCGCGTCGTCGTGCTCCTCGTAGTTATAATCCTTTTGTCTTTTTTATGAGCAACATCTAGGTTGGTTGTAGCGCATGTCCGTTGATTCATTTAAGTGATGTCTAGAGTCCAGCACCTGTCTCCACGTCCGCCATAAGGACCTCAGATGTGTGCATCAGGCAATAATCGGAAGATGAGTCTTCATCACTTACATGAGATTATTTCTACGAAGTCGTTAGTCCTCCACCTAGACAAATCATTTTTGTTTTTGATGTTTGTTATAAATATTGGTAATTGTATCTATGGATAGTTCAAGTTGTTCAAGGATGGTACGGATAGTTTTAGTTAAGTCTCTTTGAGATATCAAGTTTATTCCCACCTCCTTCTAGTACTCGTATGACAAAGTATAAGATTGACATGCTGCATTATATACCTCCATACTAGAAGTAAGAACGACTTCTCGATATTCAAATTACTAGTACCTGTTTTACTACAACACAGTTCTTTATCAAGAATAAATATCATCTAGTATCCGTCTCTATGACTATCTTCTCTATCAAGAACTGCTGCAATGAATACCTCCTATCCCTCCTCCAACTATATTTTTATGCGTCCATGTGAAACACAATGACCGACCCAGGTACTTCTTCTATACAATTACAACAGATCATTACCCTGTAGGTGCATTATACTACGCCTTGATAGACGAGATTCATCTGTTGAATGACAACAACGGATAAAAATTCTGTTGTATGATGACAAGTCGAAGTCCCCGGTATGCCAGTCGTGGTCGTATTGATAAGTGTAATCCCTATAGAGTATGACTTTTGCGGTGACTCTTCAATTGAGTAAATGCGATTACTTAATCTTGTTCAACAGAACAACAGTTACGATTTCAGTTATACTTGAATATTTTGAAATTGATCCCTGGATATTTGAGTTTGACGTCAGTCTATTATTATCAAGGTAGCCTCATAGAAGTACTCTCAGAATCCAAGAAAGAGGAAACTGAGAGACACAAGTTTTTGTACCTCCTGTGAAGATGAATTACTGTACGGAGCCACCTCCTTATGGTTGATGACACCACTGCCGATTGAAGAAGACTTACTTCTTCTTGCGGATCTGATCGAAGTTGTGGCTCTTGCCGACCTTGGACGTGTGCGCGGTGAGCAGCTTTTGGTTCTTGCCCCCCTTGCCAGTGGCAGCGGACTTGAACTCCACACATTAGAGGAAGAGGAAGGGCTCATAGAAGTATGAAGGCAGAAGGCACCTCTGTCTGTGTAAGAAGATGTATAAATGTCTGTGTAAGAAGATGTATAAATGTCTGTGTAAGAA